AATAATGAAAATAATAATAATAATGAAAATAATAATAATGAAAATAATGAAAATAATAATAATGAAAATAAAAATAATGAAAATAATAATAATAATGAAAATAATAATAATAATAATAATAATAATGAAAATAATAATAATAATAATAATGAAAATAATGAAAATGATGAAAATAATAATAATAATAATGAAAATAATAATAAGAATAATGAAAATAATGAAAATAATGAAAATAATAATAATAATGAAAATAATAATAATAATAATAATAATAATGAAAATAATAATAATAATGAAAATAATGAAAATAATAATAATGAAAATAATGAAAATAATAATAATGAAAATAATAATAATAATGAAAACTTTAATAGAACGTTTATAGATATATACAATTGTAAATCTTACTTCTTGAGGTAACCTACGATTGACTACTTAAATCACTTATGCATGGTTATAATTTTACATACAAAAATTGTTAATTATTTATAGAAATAGTTATTTTAAATGTTCATTAGTTCGGGATTTGTACATTTTTTATTTCTACAGCAAAATAAAACATTTATCCTAAATCATTTAGCACTTTTACGAATGTATGGCATTCTTTGTCAAACACCTCGAGCGAACTGACAGAAAGATTTATAACTTTAACAGGTGTAAAGTTTTGATCCAGTTCTCTAATTAGGTTCTTATGTTTAGCTTGCTTGCGGTTAACATTGTTTGTGAGCTAGAGGTTTGATTCAAAGCCTGCGGTAAGTTCAACAATGTAGAGACAAGTAAATCAGGACGATTTTCATCTCCCGTAATAATCGAGGGGCTTTCAAATCCAGGAAGATCAACAAGTAACTGAAAAGATTAAAAGAAGCTAGAGTACAAGACTGAAAAGAAGCTAGAGTACAACAAACCAGATCTAGTCATATTGAACAAGAAGGAGAAGACCACCCATATAGTGGACGTAGGCTGCCCATTCGACACAAGAGTTAAGGAGAGGGAAAAAAAACAAAGATAGAAAAATAGAAGTGGTATGAGCATGAACCGCAGGGTGTAGTAGAATCAGATAATGTGAAACTGCTCTGGGATTTTATGATTCAGTGTGACCACCAAATAGAATGTAGAAAGCCAGATATGGTAGTAGTTGAGAAAGAAGAGCGGACGTGTTTAATAATCAATGTGGCCATGCCAGGACTAAAACAGACTAACAGAGTTGGTTTGAAGGAATCTGAAAAGATATACAAGTATCAAGAATTGAAACGTGAAATTAAGAACTTGTGATCAATGAGAAAGATAGAAGTAATCCCAGTGGTAGTTGGAGCGTTAGGCGCTGTAAGTAAGAAATTTGAGCAATGGATCAAAATAATTGGTATACCTGTAAAAGTAGAGCAAGTACAAAAAACGTCGCTCCTTGGAACAGCAAGGATACTTAGAAGAGTATTGGAAAGCTAGACATCCCAGTGACACCTTAGTCTACTGGCTGTAGACAGGTGTTACTGATGAACACCGGATTTACATAAAGCCGTGTCAAAAAAAAAATAATAATAATGAATAATAATAATGAATAATAATAATAAATAATAATAATGAAAACTTTATTGAATTTTTTATGCACTTACAATTGCGAATTTCACTGTTAAAGGTAATTTACAATTGGCTACTTGATACACTATACATTATTACACTACATGTAGGGACATAATTATATGATACTAAAAGTAAGAGACTAGCTTATTAGCCTAGAAGTTCATTAAATCTGGATTCGACCAGTCCTTGTTTCTAGAATAGAAAACGTAATATGTCGTTCTTATTGCAATATTAATGATTTCCTTTTGATATATGTAACACCGGCCTTACCTGAGTTCAAATGTTCCAACATTTGTATAAAAGCTGAAGATTCTTTTTCAAAAACACCGAGTGCACTGATTGAGAGATTAATTAACTTTACCGGATGGAATTTTTTCTTTTATTCCATGATCATCTCTTTATATTTTGAGTATTTGCGCTGTATATTCTCATATCCAACGATTAGTTCGAGTACATACAGACAATTGTCTTTGGTCAAAATTAGTAGATCAGGACGATAGTCATCACCAGTAATAAGAGAGGGATTAGAGAATGATGGTAAGTCAGCATAAATGGTCTGAATATGTTCTGATGGGAGGTTATTAGCAATACAATTTAGGATTGAGTCGTGTCTCCAAGTAAATCGATCAAGGTAGACGAGGACAGTCCCCATCTTTGAAGGTTTTTGCGGGTTGGTAGCGAATTGTTTATGTAGCGAATAGTGAAGTTAAAAATTTTTTTTGGTAGTTTGGATTGACAGGTTGGCCAAATCGAATTTACTTGGGGTAGTGGGTAGTGAAAATTTTGAGATGCTGGAGAAGAATGAACCTTGGCATTTTAACTGATTTTCCAATTTATCTTCTTGAATTTCACGAAATGACTTAATTACTTTTGTCGACGTATACTGATCGTATTGGGTGTTAGTATGGTTATACAAGTCGATTTCCAGAGGTGGGCAATAATAATTATAATTACAATTGCAATTGCATACGGTATCGAAAGACAAAGTTGGGAAAAACATGGACTAGAGACGAAAAAATCCGAAACAAGTAAACAACAGAATGTTTAAAGAGAACGAAGGGATATTTTACAGAAAGACAAATAGTACGAAGGAAAGGAGAGGAGAAGTGCCGGGCATCGACAAATTTGTTGAATCCTGGGCAGGCATTTGGGAAGATGAAACCAGTACTCCACACAGGCGGTGGATGAGAACAGTTACAGAGAAGGTCAGGCCAAAGGAAACCAATATAGAAGAGTTAATAATCACTAAAGAGAAGTTGTACGAGACAGTCCGAAAGAGGAAGAATTGGTCAGCTCCTGGAATTGATGAAATACAGAATTTCTGGTGGAAAAAGTTCAGAGGAACGTGGAAGGCACTTGTAAGACGTTTTAATGAATGGATTGAACAACCGGAGCGAATACCAGAGTGAATTACACATGGAAGGACAGTATTATTGCCAAAGATAGAATATTTAAGTGACGAAAGAGAATACCGACCTATAACCTGCCTGAATACATGTTATAAGATCTTCACTGGGAACGTAGGTTGCTTTATGAAGCAGCATGCAGAAAGAAACAACATCTGGGATGGAAGTCAACACGTAGATTGTATCATAGACGCTTATTTGTTTTTAAGTGTCTAAATAATCATACCTCACATGGATTTGAACTTCTAGCGAACAGAGAACTACAATACACGATATAAGGGGGATATTGGGGAAAGCAAAGACTCGCTTATCAGGCCATAACGTACAGACTGGAACAACTTGGACAGAAAGATAAAACTCTCTACTAGTATTTCTACATTTAAGAGAAACTTTTTTAGCAATCTTTGAACTTTCTCTCGTATAATTTGTTAATATTTTTTATAGTTATGTAATTTATGCATGTCTTCCTTGTAAATTTGTTTATTTAGTTCAGGACCTTTCTGAAAATCACTTTGTGAGAAAGCTTCTTGAAAATAAATATTAATTAGAAACAAAAAAGAGTCAAGTTGGAACATGCTCTGGCGTATTAGGAAATCTTGCTGTAGCATTCTACGATTACCGTAAGGCGTACGATATGGTCAGACATGATTGGATGCTATGAGTTTATCGATAGATGGGAGTGCCGGAAAAAGTGTTGAATGTACTAAGCCGACTGATGGAGGGACGGAAAACAAGGTTAGAGGTCACAGACAAAGGAGAAGTGAGAATCAGCAGATGGATAAACATCCGGAAAGGGTTCTTACAAGGCGACAGTTATTCTCCGGTGGGTTTTTGCCTCACGGAAGTACCAATTGCGATGATGCTGGAGGAGACAGATGGATACAAGATGGGACAACCAGGAGAAACAGACCTAAAGAAAACACACTGTCTATTCATCGATTTCATCGATGATCTAAAAGTATACCAGAAAAACCATCGAAAACTTGAAATAGCAAATGAAATGATAGCGAAAGCAAGCATGGATACTGGAGCATGTTATGGCATGAAGAAATGTGCAGAAGCCGTCTGAAAGGATGGCAAGATGATGAAAGGAGAAGGATTAGCAATATTTTATTTTGAAGAGAGGATGAAAGCACTAGATCCAGAACAAAACGAAGTGTACAAATTTCTTGGTTGTGAACAAGGTGACAAAATTGATGTTAAAAGGGTAATGCAAAGGGTGAAAAAGGAGATAGCAAAAAGATTGGAACAGCTGGTGGGAATAAATTTGAATGATGAAAATCTTGTGAATGCGATAAATTGCAGAGTGGTGCCAGTGGCCGGATATATCATGAATGTGTGTAACCCGAGGAAAGGAGATATTGAAGAGCTCGATATGATTGTTAAAACCGCACTCAGGAAAGAAGGATTTCACGGAAAACAAGCAAGTGATGAGAGATTGTATGCGAAGAGAGAAGATGGTGGAAGGGGATTGAAAAGTTTCAAGGAGGTTATTGCCTATGTTATATGGCAACAACGAACAACGAGTGGATCAAAGTGTCATGGAGAAACGAGAACCTGAAAGAGCAAACATCATTGAAAAGAGAGGAAGAGGAAGCAATGCAAAGAGTGAATGCACAGGTCGAATTCAATTTTGAAGTAATCAAGATTGGAAACGAAGGCTATATGGATTGGAAGGCTGCATGGAGAAAGCTTACGAAAATTATTGAAGAAGGGCAACGCAGGAACATGAGAGAAAGCGTTAGAGAAAAGAAATTGCAAAGTGAAATACCAGCGGGATTTGAAAAAGAAGATCATGGTTGAAGTGCAACACCGATCCAAAAAAGACAGCATCGATCTTCTCACTGCAGGAACAGATGATTGAAACGAAAGCGTGGAAGAAAATGAGAGGATTAGTGGATCAGGACAAGTGTCGATTGTGTGGGGAATCTAGAGAGACAGTTCAACACCTACTGGCAGGATGCAAAAAGATAGCGGGATCGGAGTATGTAAGAAGACATGACAACGCGTTGAAAGTATTGGCGGTGCAATGGGCGATTGATAACGGATTGTTACCAGAAGGAAGAAAGTGGTACACAGAAAGATGGGAGAGAGGAAAAATGATTGAGAACAATGGAAAGAAGCTATTTTTGGATTGGGAACATAGAATGAGGACGAGTTGCACGGCCAGGAGACCCAATCTGACGCTTGAGGACGAAAAGTAATAGATATGGCGTGCCCGATACGACCCTAATAGATATGGCGTGCCCGAATGAGTCAACAAAACGTGAAACGAGAGGAGAAGATAAGAAAGTACCAACAGCTGTGTTTTGAACTGCGGGAAAGACGGGAAGGATACAGAGTGAAAGTCATACCATCAGTGATTGGCTGCTTAGGAGGAGGGATGATATAAGAGAACTGTTTAACAAAGAGAAAGATTTTAAAAATCGGATAAGTAGAGAAATGCCAGAGACAGTATTATGGGAAAGCGAGACAATTATGCAGAAGTGTTTCAGGAGCTAGACATCGCGAACAGTCTGAAGTCGGTGATAAACCCCATCTTGCAAGGTTTTGGTGCGTTGGAAGGGAGTTATTGATGTATCGAACTGTAAAGTTGAATATATTTTTCGGAAGGTTCGATTGGCACGCAGACCAAATTTTAGTGAGTTGGTGAAAGTGAGAACTTTGTTATATTAGTGAAGAAAGAGCCTTGAAAGGTTAATTGAGTATGCAGTTTATCCTCTTGTCCAGAGAGAAAGTCCTTAAGAACTTGCTTAGTGGGGTTATAAACGTCATACTGAATATTTTTGCTGTTACTACCGGGTGTCCCAAAAAAAACAACTATACCCTCTTTGATTTCATGTAACGTAAAACCTATAAAAGCTATTTCACTAAAATAAAAACCATTGTATTCACAAATGATTAACTTAGATTTTAATATATGACATTTAATTTTCCGTGCGATATTGACAGAAATACAAGTGTTTGAAGTTGCGAGGAGTTTTTGAAATTGGCGAAAAAACAGCAAAAATTGCCGCATCAAACTAAATTGAAAGCAGTTGTCACTTTACAGTACATGGAATCTTTTTAACTTCAGTGATTTTATCTTTAATTTTGGATTATTCCCTTGCAAATTTACTTTAAAAATAAAAATTACACCTAAAGATTGATTCTTAGGTATAAAACAAAGTAATAATTCACATTAAACGAAAGTTCCATATGACGTCCCTTGGGAATCAAATTGGCAATGAAGTTTATTGCATGTCGATTAGATTTGTATTCCTAAAGTTAACAAAAGACCAAAGAGTTTGGATTTGTATCGACACGCTTTTCCTGATGAGTAAACTCATATTAGTCCATTCTTTTGTACATAATTTCATAAAGGCATTCTTTTAGCTAGAATAAAAATAATCAAAAACTAAATTGGAATTTGTTATGCTGTTTTATGCTAATTTTTAACTTTTCAGAAATGTTAGTTCAACTTTGAAACGTCAATAGCTGTGTCAATATCGCACGAAAATGTAAATGTTATATATCAAAATCTAAGTTAATCCTTTATGAATACAATGCTTTTTATTTTAGTGAAATAGCTGTAATAGGTTTTACGGTAAATGAAATCAAACAGGGTATAGTTTTTTTGGGACACCCGGTAGTTGCTTTCCAAAGTTCATTAATTGCTTCGTTTGAGGATGTTTTTAGAGCTTTACGGAGAACAGTTTGACATTGAATGAATTTGACATGCAGATAGGGGACAAATACTGAGGCCAAATTTGTTACGGGTTAGGAAGACAGTGCTTAGCGTTCCAGATATAGGTATATCAAGCCAATAATGATAATGATAATGATAATGACAACGACAACGATAATGATATTTTTTTTTAAATTTTAATAATATAATAATTTAATTTAAACATTCAATTTACAAAGATCGTTAAAAATACTGTTGATAAGAATTAGTGTTTTATATTCTGATCATTAAATAACGTCTATCTGAAATTATTATCCTATTACCTATACTAATTAACTTTATATATTAATAATAATATAAAAGTTGCTAAAATCATTAAAAAACGTCCAATAAAAAAATTTGTTACTGAAATCATTAAAAATGTCCAAAAATAAGGTCCAAAAAGGATCAAATTAATGGATTCTTGCCGATATTGTCTCTATGTCAACATTAATGTCCCCTGGGTTACAGTGTACTCTTCTTAACATTCTTGAACCTCGTATGCATAGCAGCGCCGATCTAAGGATTGAAAACGATATCTTTGCTCTTAACCACGACATAGCCCTCGAATATATCTCTCCTTTCTTCTCAGCAAGTAGCTCAGCTAGTCGACAGTGATACCTCAAGCACTCTTCTCCCATTCCACCAGTTGTGGTAAAGACTAATGGTGTAAATGTTCCCTGTTCAATATATGTAACCCGGTTGTTGTACATACGTTTCTTTTCATTCTCGTGGATACGATAGATCTGTACAGGAGTTAGGTCACGGTAGGACTCTACATTTGGGTGACATACCTGGATATCGAAGAATGCAGACCTTTGCCTCTCCCAAAAGCCACGTCCATGTACGTCAAGTCGAGCGTTAAGTGAACGATTTGCGCCTGGGTTTAATGGTTCACCATTTATTTCTTGTAGGGTAGGTTCAATCTGAACATCATTACAAACAATGTTCAGAAGTTCATGCAGCTTCTAAATCCCGTAATTGGTTGTGGCGTTGAATAATAAACCCCCCTCGACCGCATATCGTAGCATGGTCAACGTTGAAAGGCACTCCACATACACAGTTTGATGGGATATCACTGAGTGGCCAATCGTATCTCAAAGCATCCTTAAACTCTCGCTTGTTCAAATTGAAACCCATATCTGAAATTGGCAGAACTTGTAGCCAAGCTGTGGAAAAACACTCGGGCCCCGAAAACACTATACCGGATTGCATCGAAGCGACGCAATTTCTGTACCGGATTGGGCTCTTGTTTACACTACGCCACTATAATCCGGTACGTGCCGCGGCGCGAAAATCACTTCGCTTTGGAAGTGATATGAAAAGTAATCCGGTATGTGCCGAATCAGTGTAAGCAGGCCAATCCGGTGTCCCAGGAAATTTCCCCCCCCCCCCAAAAATTTGCCCCCCCCCCCCTGGGCCAAATTTCCTAGGAAATTTGGCCCCCCTGGGGGCCATATTTCCTAGGAAATTTGGCCCCCCTTCGGAAATTTGGCCCCCTCGAAAACATAGTTTACTTTATCGCTATAAGCTCGGAAATCGTGAAGCTTCTTCTAAAACCAAGATCCTAAAAGTGTTTGTCAGTATTTATAGTTAGTTTGCATAATTTATTTGTATCGAAATTCGTCATTGCGGCCAAGAGCTAAAAGTTTGAAGGAAAGCGTAAAAATAATAATGTGCTAGTGCAGTCATGCCAGACACATCACACATGGGTATCAAATGGCTTAGCTTTAAGCTAAGGACACGAAACGATTTTTAGAGATAGGAATTTCTAAGATATTAAAAGTTATTTGGATCTATAAATTTAGTCACATAGCATAAAATTAGTCAGAATAACAACCGCACTTTTATAGCAAACGATGACATCATGCGTTGGCGAATATGTTAATATCCACGCGTCTAATAAATAACAGGGAGTAATTAGCATTAGTATAGGGTAAAAATAGACTTTTAAGTCGAAACGTTTGTTCGAAAAACAAAATCAAATGTGTGGTTATTTCGTAAAAAAAACTTTTCCTATGCATTTTACTTACATATACACAATATGTAATGCATCCCAATCATATGATCGATTATACAGAAGCATTCCGTAAAAACGGACGTAGACTGCATGCTTCATGGAAGATTCGCAATTGGTCTTATATTTTTGATCTTGATAATAAATATATACGGCTATATCGATTATTGTCCATCTTGGCGCGCCATAATGCACAAAGGTTCGAATGACTAACAAAACATTCCGCAAACACAAAAGCACAAAGGTTTGGATGACTCACAAAAACATTCCGTTACAAAGGTTGCATGCAGCTACATAAAATCCGTCAGTGTTGTAAGCAAATTATGTAAGAAATTCCTATCTCTAAAAATCGTTTCGTGTCCTTAGCTTAAAGCTAAGCCATTATGCTTTAACGTTGTCCTCAACAGATACCCATGTGTGATGTGTCTGGCATGACTGCACTAGCACATTATTATTTTTACGCTTTCCTTCAAACTTTTAGCTCTTGGCCGCAATGACGAATTTCGACACAAATAAATTATGCAAACTAACTATAAATACTGACAAACACTTTTAGGATCTTGGTTTTAGAAGAAGCTTCACGATTTCCGAGCTTATAGCGATAAAGTAAACTATGTTTTCGAGGGGGCCAAATTTCCGAAGGGGGGGGGCAAATTTCCTAGGAAATATGGCCCGGGGGGGCCAAATTTCCTAGGAAATTTGGCCCGGGGGGGGGGGCAAATTTTCGGGGGGGCCAAATTTCCTGTGACACCGGTACGCTTCAGTACAAAATCTGTTTTGGCGTTTTGGATTTACCATTGTCGCCTTTATTTGCTCGCTTTTACAATATTTTAGCGCTGTCGTTTGTTTCGCCTTAAACCATTTACTATTTCTGGCGAAGACAAATAAATAAAACGATAATAACAATTGACTTTTCGCTTTCGATAGGGCAAATACTCGTCAATTTTGGACTAGACCGAAAGGAAGCAACGTCTGGTAGTCAAGTTTTTTAAACAAAGTTATACTTTGCAAAGAAAACGTGTGTTACTTCTTGTTTTTAATAAATTTTAGTATACTTTCAAAAAGTATTACTTGTTTCCATGGCGACAGCGAGACATGAGTTGGCGACAGAGCGAAGCGGCGTGCATAGTGTAAACATCCTTGTTTTTTATTTCGGAGTGAAAAGTAATCCGGTATGAAAATCAATCCGGTATAGTGTAATCCCACTGTCAGAGTAACATCACAAACATACGTTTTGATTTTGGCGATACTGAGTTGATAATCAGATCAGCTTTCTCTTTTGCGATTTCATTTTTCTCGATTGGTCAGGTAATTCATGCATTTGTGATTCAATTTGACGTACCAGTGACGTACCAGTACTTGTATAGAAGCTGCTTATTCTTTCATTGCTTCATGACATGGATTTAACCACTATTTCGTACGGGTAAAGCCAGAATGTCACGTTCAAGCTGGGTGCATTCATGATCTGTCAACGCCGGTAGAAAGATGTTGGAAATTGCATTCTCTAAAGGTTGTATCAAATCTTGAATGTCTGGTAATGTTCGGAGAAAATATGTCCATCGGTGTTTCAGACCCAGGGATGCCGGAAGTTGCTGAGGGCAAGGGGTGCAATTGGTTAACAAGAGGGCATACTCCTTAATAAAAGGGCACCAATGAAAATGAAAGGGCGTCATGATCCTACATTCGTGTCAACCTCCCTCCCCGTCACCAATTTTTTTCGGACCGAATACAATTATTTAGGCACAATTCCTCCGTAATTTCTCGCCAAAAATTCCATAAGTAATGCTTTCCGTTTCACCTTTCGCCAAATAGATAACAACTTTGCCGAATTCCTGACGACTGAGGGGTGGAACACCCCCACACACATCCTCAAACGACGTTTAATTCTGTCAGTTGTAAAAGTTTTGTGCACCCGTTACACCCATAGTCTGCACCCGCACTGCACCCATGCACAAAGTTGAAAATGCAAAAGGCAAGGGGTGCACTTGCACCCGCTGCACCCGTGGTTCCGGCATCCCTGTTCAGACCGAACGTATATACCGCGTAGCTCGCTTGAGGTTGTGACACCGCAAATTTGGCTAGCTTGTTTACGTCTTCTAACCATCCCTCGACTTTCTCATTAACATATTCAACCAAATATGACCGTGATCCCACAGCTGCTCCTAGATGTTTCCGTCCTTGCGTTGTTATGTTAATTGTTGTTTCCCCAAATGACCCTCTTGCAATATTTCCTTTCTCCGGTTTTACGATCAACCAACATTTTTCACCTTTTAGGTAATAACCATAATCAGGCCCGATTTCAGATAACGTATCCCACCACTTGTTTACCTCTGTTACAGACCCTGCACCACTTGCATTGTCTGCAAACCAGCACTGCTTGGCAGAACTTACAACATGGAGGTGTGTGATGAGTGGCTGAAGACTAATTGCGTAGATGGCTATTGTCAAAGGGTCACCCTGTGTTGTTCCTTCCGAAGATTTCAACTCCTGCCCACCCACTACCAATAATCGTGACGGTAGTCTGTACGTATTGATGGCGTAGACTGCAATAGATGGGCAGAGGACACTGGAATTATGAAGGGCGGCAGCCCTGTTTAAGGCATTAAAGGCATTGGATGCATCAATCAACAAGACCGCATCTGTACCATCTGCATAAAAAAATATTTCGCAAAGCATGGACTGCATGCAGCCTCACTTCCCACCGGTTGACTCGCACAAAGTTGAAGTGAGCCGCTTACTTCCAACACCTCTGGTTTAACAATCTTCATCACACACTTACTGATAATTCTTCTTAGCACTTCTCCAACACCGATGGGTCTAACGGCTCCTTCCCTTTGTCTAAAGGGATTAAACGACTTGCTACCAAAGCCTCGATTAGAGTTGGATCAACAAATTCAGTACACAGAGTCTTTGTTAAAGTGGCTAAGGCTTCACAAAGGGCGGTGGAGGATTTTTAAAGGATTTACAAGCAAGTATCCTCTTGAATCCATTAGCATCAACCCCGGAAGGACCTCCAGAACCTTTCGTCCTCAAGGCAGGCTCTCTTACCATCTGACCATTGATTGGAATAAATAAACTTTCTATTACTTCTTGCACTGGCCCACGAAGAAGAGTGCCAATTTTCGCTTCTTCTTCCGGGTGCTTTTGTCGTAATTGAAGCATGACGTCATCAGATAGGGGTAACACGCCACCATTACCCTCCTCACTCAAGAAACGCATTGCTGAATTTATTTGACCTTCCATAACGAGCTTGGCAAAGATTTTCGCTCTGTCTGGAGGTTCTCATTTCTTACTCTTTCCAATGCGAGCTTGAATCATTCGCCCTTCTCTTAGCAGCTTATCAATTTGACCATCTTTTCACAAGGCCAAACGTCTCGTCAGACATTCTTTATAATCTTTCGCTTTAGATTTTGGCCCTGGTTTTTGCAGCCCAACAGCAAGGAGTACAAAGACAGCTTTCAGAGCAATATGTTGTTGTTCAGATTTACTGTTCCATTGATTGACATGCGTTGTTAATTGATCAATAAATTATTTCCCTATCTTTCCATATGGTACAAGAAAGACGTTCTTTCTCCATGAGATAATTTATTCAGATGCTTTAATAATGTCGGATGATTGGATCTTTATCAAGACACCATTTTCATCCTTCCCCCATTTAATAAGTACATGCTTTTCTGTTATCTCATGTTCCGGCAAGCTTGTGTTTATAGTTGTTCCCTCTTGTGAATTTGCAGAAGTTGAGCGTAGAGATCTCATTGTATCTTCGTATTGGTCTTCAATAGCATTATCTATGACATCATCTAATTGAATATCATGCTGACTTCCACTTGAGCTTTTACGCTGGCTTCCACTTGAACTTCCATAATTTAAACTTCCTTCAGTTGCTTCAACGTTTTCTTTTGTCCCATTGCCACTATTATTTACCATCATGTCCCCCATTGTTTTCTCTAATCGTGCTGCCTGATCTCTCAGATTTTGACAAGAAAGACCGAGATACGCATAACCCCGCTCATCCCATAACTCCATAATAATAATAATAATAATAATAATAATAATAATAATAATAATAATAATAATTATTATTATTATTATTATTGTTATATAGCTAGCGTGAACACCAAACGTGATTGGCTGATTTGTGGTCACGTGACTTCAGATAAATGCAATGTTTCCCGCCGGGCAACAAGTGAAAAATTGTTGCCCGCCCCGACCGGCCACGTACATAAATAAACAAAATGGAGGCACAACTCAGATAATTAGAAACTACGATTTTCCAAGTTTGTGTTCAAGTAAAGAATATAAAAGAGAAGAAAAATACACAACAGGCAACAGGATATGCTGCTGAAACCGTTTAAGTAGGTTCTTTTAATTTTAAACTCGTTTACACTATAGAGTTTTTGTCACGAAATACAATTGTTGTAAAAATGTTGTTGAAGTTGATTTTTGTTCGTCGCTATATAACAATACACTTAATGCCTGTTCCCTCGGGAAATAGTTAGTTTTGTTTTCCGTCGAATCTTAATGTTTCCCTCGACTTCGTCTCGGGAAACATTGAGATTCTCGGGAAAACACAACTAACTATTTCCCTCGGGAGCAGACATTAAGTGTATAATATTCCACATGAAAGATTCGATCCCCGCATTTGACTGAACAAAACCCCTATATTTGAAACTTTTTATTTGCAATATAACCATAGTTTTATTTCATTTAATTTAAACCAAGTCATTTTGATTTCATTTTAAAGGAATTTCAAAAAAATTAAACAATAATCCTTGAAGTATACGACTCCACCGATCGCAGTAATCTAAGCAAATTATCTTTTGAAACATGAAGCAAACCGTGTTTTAATTAGTTTGCTATTCTTAACATATCCTGCGCCACGCAGACACACAGAGAAGTCAAAAAGCTAGACGCAAGCTCAATGATTCATAATAGCTACAGTTGCAAAATTTATATTTAATCACCCAGTTTAATTAATATTTGCTTAGACTATGCATCTCAGTCTATTTATTGAATTTTGGTAAATGCTACAAGTTAACACATATCCTTTCGCATCTATAGCAGATCATATGGGGCAGGTCGTAATAACTGTTTACTACATTTTGGGTAGTTAAATCGTAGCTAACTCCAAAATAAACGATTCTGATTGGTTAACTATTTCACTAACTACCGTTAAATGTTAACCACCTTTTTATACAACCGGCCCCTTGGCATGTAGTAAAATACGGAACACCGGAACACTTAGGATTAACGAATATTTTCATAGACTTTTAAAATTTTTTTGAATTTTCAGGCATATTTGCAGAATTTTAAGGATTTTCGCAGAGTTTTGGGTATTTATACTAAGATTTTTTCTTGATTTGGAGAGATTTTTGGGAATTTTCTAAGGTTTGGGAAGTAGAGATATTTCCTACGATTTTTTGGCCGGAGTTTTTTAATGGGGTGCGAAATTTCTTGCCTTAAGCATTTTAACACAGCCACGTATGTGACACAGTCTATAGTAGCTACTCGACAACAGGTGAAACTAAACTATCACCAGGGGCGGATTTAGACCGTTGCAACTGTAGCATATGCTACGGTCAGATTTTCCATAGGCCAGTTCTAGCATGGTTCAATAATTCATAAAATCAATTTGAAATATAATTTAGCTATACTTTATTTACTTTTCCTTGTTTATATTTCATAGTTTTATTTTTATTTAGTTATGTACAAAATGATGTCATTGATACGTACGTAACATTAATTGTTTTCAGAATTCCCGCCCCAAAATACGCTTGTAATTGCCCGTTTGCGGGTCATTACGCAATCGTTTATGCATAGAAAATAGCATCCTTCAGAAATACACCGCAGCGTGTTGCCCATGTATGGCCAATTTTCGCTACGGTCAGATTTGACCTTAATGAATCTGACCGTAGCGAAAATTGGCATATACGGCATTCTGATTGGTTTGCTACGGTCGACCGTAGCAAACCAATCAGAATGGGGCAAATGCTATAGTTTGCTACGGTGGTATGAAATTGGCTACTGCTACAGAACGATGGAAATATCTGATATTTGTGTTTGGCTCATCAACAACATGCTGATGGAAACCACAGTACGGTTGTGCGCATTTTGAGATGAAAGTCGTCGTAAAGAATATGATGATGAATAAATCGAGGTAGAAATAGAATCAGATAGTAAAACGAATCATTTCCAGTTAGGTAAGCCTTGTGAATAATGAGAGATGCACATGAATATTTTAATATGAGTTTATACTGTAGTGTTCGCTATATTAATTAACCGACTTCGCTTTAAGAGTTTGTGCGCGTATTTACAGTATACCTGCTTGTATCGGAATTAATACGCGAATTATGATACACGCGTATATCGTGTTTTATAGTGCCCTGATATCTGTTTGTAGTGAGTATTCGTATGATACGCGAATTCGTATGATACGCGTATTCGTACGATACGCTTATTATTTCGTATGATACGCGTATTCCTATAATACGCGAGGTATTCGATTGATACGCGTATCATGCGCGTATCGTATGTTAAGATATACGCGAGCGATACTGTACTTTTTACTTTTGAGATCTTTCTTATTTTTGCTTAAAAAATGAGTACAATGAGGACAAATTTAGTGGTCACATTCGGTGCTCAGAACGCAGGAAATGGCATTTCCGGGCTTCAAATTTCAAAAATTTTCCGGGGAGGGGGGCATGCCCCCGGACCCCCTACCAATGCGAGGTCTTTGAATATGTTGCGGTCACATTTTTGGCTGGATCCGCCTCTGATCACACCAATAGTCAAACGGCAGATTTGGGTATAATTGTTTTTATATCCTTTTCGAACGTTTAGGAGCAAGTCTTACATTTGTACTTTGTGATTTCTTTGTTTTGCTGAGATGACGCCATCTATACAAATTAATGTTTTTATGACAAATTAGTACTTTTGAAATACACAAATTTCCACCAAAATTTGTGATATTACCCCGTGCGTATATTTCAACTTTAATATGAATAACAAAATGGAAAATTTCTTTGTAAATCAGGTTGTTAATGGCCATAATTTTTTATAAGTAGCAAAGTTAACTGAGAAATTATTGCATCAGTTTGGGTGAGAAAAAATCAATGTGTGACTGTTTCTTAATATGCTAGTCAAATTAACAAATAGATTGCCAAAAACGTTAACATAGTGACCAACCTTATGTCTGTACGGGGGCAATCCAAGCACATAAGATTGTAAGAATTATCAAAATATCGAAGTTTAACACAGGTTCGTTGTTTTTTCTGCCAATTTAGATCATGTCCTCATAATAGAGGTGTTCGCTTGATAGGATTCATTAATTAATAGGAATTAATGATTTCTATGCGATTCTATTCGGATCTTCACAATTGATACAGATTGGATTGTATTTTGAAAAGAAAATTCTATACGACTTGATTAGTCGTCTACTATACTTGCGACTGAAACAAATGTTTATATTTGTATGTATACGCACAATACCTAAAGCTTCTTTAAGAGACTTCCCATTGTGTTTCAAGGAGCAAAGCTTCTGCCTCATTTCATAAATCCTTTCTATAGGAAGAATTTCATCTTTGTTTTCGGTTGCGATGCTATCCAAGATAATATCTTTGTTTGCGTTGTATGTTTTCTTATCTTGTTTCATCTGTTCGATCTTCTGGTCGTCTCTGATTTCTTTCTCCTTAGCCTGCTCGTCTTTGATCAGCATGTCGAGGTACTCGTTGAAGGAATCGTTGTAAGCGATCATGGCATTTTTCTTGAGAAAAGCACCGAAGAAGCTAGCACATTCAAAAATGAATTTCTTTTCATCTTCAAACTCCTTGATGCTTTTCTCCATTTCCTCCATGAAGATCCTTTTCTTAGACTTTAAGTCGGACTTCTTTTGGATGTTGGCCTTTGCATCTTCTCACAAGAATTCCTTCTCTACAACAGAAACAGTGTAGGTCATATGCATGTGAACTCTGTAATCGTGTCGACAATGCTTGCAAGTTCCATTATTGTCCTTAGCAGCACAACCACGAAATTGTTCGTTGTTCGTAACCTCTAACGGACCTCCTGAAATACCGCAGCCATCATGGCAGATCTGTTCATAAATTGTATTTTGTTCCCTTGAAGCCCCAATGGGCACGTACCTCTTGCACAGTGTGTCTGCGCATACCGTCATGGGATGGTCGAGTTGGTTCACGCACAACTCATACCCATTGATTTAAGGTCGGCTTGGAAGGACTTGATGTCAGCATCATAGATGGTGCATTGGTCTTTGGCGTCTTTAATCTTTTTCAAATTCATCTCAATTAATTGAACAGCTTGACCCATTGGTTTGCTCATGACGATTATGCAGTTTCTCGCTTCGTTTAGACTCACGGTTTTCTTGGTCTAATGGGGCTTTTTTTTCTTAATGAGGTCAAACATTTGGCAAGTTATATCACACGACTTAATCCAACTCTTTGAGTAGAGGTCAATTTCTTCAAACGTGAACTTGGTTCCACTTTTATGGCAAGCAAGGAACCTGTAAATGAGATAATAAAACAAAAACATCAGCATCAACGTATGGATTATTAGACTTCTTGCCAAATTTGGTGCACTCAACGTCCTCCAGCTTTTTTAGGTACATAAATACTTTTCATCTCCAACCCAAGAAATAATAATTATCACCAGAATCCGCAAATAAATTTAAATTTAACATAAAAATGACATTTAACACAATGGCTTGATGGAGGGTGCAAGGAACACGAGACGCTATCCCCTGTTCTACGAAATATTTCAAATACGACTGTGAGGACTGCATTAGATATCCAGTCGGCGCAATTTGATCACGTCAGAGGGAAAGCCGAGGACTGGATCAAAATGCCAGGACTTGAAATCTAGTCCAGTCCGAATTGGAGGATTTGAAATGACATCTCCTACGAATAAATCACTAATTAATTCATTTTGATCCAGTCCAAGGACTGAATTAATTTCGATTCAGTCCTAGGACTGAATCAATGGACTTCATCTGGTATATAATATTATCATGTGAGCAAAATAAAGCAATATGTTTGGATAATTTACTCATGAATTGTTAATGAGTTTGAGATATATTATTAATCTTAATACCTAAAAACTTCGTTGTCAAAGCAAAAATAATTTGATAGAGATACATCGATTTCAATACTATGACTCTGGAGCAGGTTTTTAAGAACTGGGAGGCTGTCGCCTGGTCTATAGAAGGTTCCGCGGAAATTCGTAAAGGCAATGATGGTGTTGGACACCAGAGATTTGTGGAGGTGTGTTAACAACTCTAACACACAAAACTTGAAAGCCACAGTCAATCTAGCGTTGTTTGGTTTGAGAAGGACAACAACAGCGTTAATCTTGTCATAACAGGTAAGAAAGGCCAAGATGTTTTCAAAATTTTCTTTGTCTTTTTCAATACCCCTGCAGTCCCCAATTCCTGGAGTGTCAATAAGGTGGAACCTTGTTGTGTTGGTTTCAATCATGTACTCTTGAGGGAACTGGGTAGCAGATTGGCCACCATTTAGAACTTCATTTGAATCAGTTCCAAATGCAATGTCAATCCCCTCACCATCTTCATTTGTAAAAACAAATCTAAGATAAAGAAAGTTTCAAAATGTTACCATTATCTCATTAAACTGCTATATTTAATAACAACTTTTTATGATGATGCAACAAAATTGCCCTACCAGAACGTCTGAAAATGTCTATGTGTATTCGTTTATGTGTATGTGGGTTCCCTAACATTTTTAAAATTTGCAAAATCTGTCTGATTCTCTGGTATTCTTGACACTTTCATTATCTATGGACGTCAGTAAAGCTTGTGTAAATAATTTCATATTAAATACAACAACAATTGTTAAGTTTTAATTAGCTTTTTTTTCAATTAAGATCTTAGTTCCTGCATTTGGAAAGTGACACAAAGAGGTGTTAAAAAGCATTCCTCTTTTTTCACAGATTTTAGTTGGGTTTTTTAAAATTAATATATCGGGTGTGTTTTAAAACTAGACTTGTGGAAGATGAAAAAAATCACGATTCCCTTCCTGGCACTTAGCATTCGTTATGTACATGTCAAAAACATGGAAGATTCGAAAACTGTTTGTACCTGGATGGAATCAAAACGGTGAATTCCGGAGCATCTATGGCATCTTGGAGGGAGCCATGCTTCGCATAATTGGCAATGCCATTAATCCAAGTAGACTTGCCTACACCAGTCTCGCCAAGGATAAGAATGTTGATGTCCTCCTTCTTAAGTGCTGCCTTTAAAATTAAAAACAAATCAACACATTTTTTAAAACGGAGTGTACGGCTCAATAATTTGTGATTCCCAACTATAGATTGGATAGAGAAAAAGAATTAAGAGAGGATGTCGACAAAAATCAAACATAAGGCGGCCACGACTGAGAAATCGATTTTGCTCAAATTTTGCCCAGATATACCTTATTATATCGAAAAATGCACCAGATATTTTTTTAGGTCAAATGCTTTTTTAACTTTGAGAAAATGCCGTTTAAACACGACCACCCTAAATCGCCATTTTGTCTGGGAAAATATGCGCTGATTTTACCTGAGCCAAATTTCCGGACGACAACCGTTTCTAATCGATCTAAAACCCTAAAAATCTTGTTTTCGGTTATTCAAAGGACTGTGTACATGACTTAGAGGAAATCTGAGCTACTTTTAGGAATAGAAATAATCGTACTTTTGGAGCACACTATCTTATTTCATTTACGATACACTCTGAACAAAACCGATTTTCACCATGCGATAAAGCTCCAAATCGATCATGCTTCTACTAGTTGGCTCTTCAATAAGCAACGTAAATATTTCTTTTGGCATATGAATACGCGATAAACGACAGCGCTTTGAAATCTTCCGTTTTTGACGTCTTGCAAGTCAAACGCTGTTAATTTATACACCGTCGAAGTAAACAATTTAATCAAGTATTCTAAGTATTTTGCCTTTTGAGGAAAAACATATTCTTGAATAGAGACTTTTCGTACGGAATCTTCGACTTTATGAAAATAATTTTATTCTGAACATTTATTGTTAATTATGAACATTCTAGTTAAATATTTTTTTTTGAACTGTTAATGTTAAATGTATGATTATATATATAATTGATTACACTAGGGGCCTTAAACAAAAGCCTGATGGTTTCTAGTAGGCCTCTAGCCCTCATTTGTAAATAATATTAATTAATAATCAATGTTAAATTTGGGCGAAATAAATAAATAAATAAATATTTGTAAAAAAAAATCATCAAACAGCCGGTATTTTGAGATATTGTTGCCGGTCGCATGATAACTTCAGATCATTATTCAACGCGATCTACGACCCAGCGTTTGACTTTAGCGCTAACATATACAAATCAATAAGCTATTTAGGGATTATACTTGCTACTAAATTCCCCAAAATAATTGGAACTACAACTGCTGTTTTCAGAGGTTTTGTTCCACTTTGTCCATAGTGTCCTTATTAATGTGCCATTTTATTTATGGACTGATGTTTACGAATACGTAAGTTATATTAATTATTAAGCAGCTGTCAGCGTGCGTGTATGTGAAATGAACGTTTATATAATGTTTATCCATATAAGGAATTTTTATTTTTAGCTTACCAGCCCTTATGTTTGAATAGCCGAATTCATATTAGGGGTGGGAAACTTGTCTGTGAAAACCCATCTGAATATG